CTCTACTAGATCTAGATCTAGATCTAGATCTAGTAGCTCTAGCCCTAGGCAATAGCTTTAGCTTTAGCTTTACTAGAACTAGCTCTAGATTTAGTCTTAGCTCCAGCAATAGCAATACTGTAATATAGAGCTTGTCTTACTATGTATTACGGTCACACACGAAGTGTTCTATTACAAGCTACTAATAATCATACGATCACACGATTGACCATATATAAAATAAAAAACATACAGTACGATCACGCGATTGATCATACGTACGGTACGGGGAAAAACCTGAAATAACCCGGTGCGAAATCACATTGAAATCGCGTGTTAATTCCACGAAAATGTGAAATCTGACTACGTGAGTTCACTGCATCGAACACGGTTTAGCAAAATAGCTCTACCAGCACTAACTGTAGTAGCTCCAGCTCTACTTACTATGTATTACGTCACACTGAAGTGTTCTAGTACTACAAGCTAATCATACAATCACACAATTGATCATACGTACGGTACAGGGAAAAACCTGAACAAAACCAGGATCAAACGAGTGAGAAATCACACTGAAATCACGTGTTAATTCCACGAAAGTGTGAAATCTGGCTGCATTGAACACAATTTCGATGCTTTGCCCCGACATTTCCGAGCCCTAATTTCGATGATTCTGAGCACTGTTAGTCAGTGGGAAACCCCACTGAAAACACTTATAAAAAACTAGACAAGATGAAATCAAGCTTATAAGCATACACTCGGACACCAGAATAAGAAATCCAATCCAAGGGCTGATTGAATTTCAATCTGGCATCGCGAGTGCCCCTCAGGCATCTGCTTGCTGCTCTTGCTAAAGCAAATCCAATTCTTGATTTAACAAGGCTGCATACCTGAGAGTACTGCCTCTCCCATTTGGCAGCAAGTTTGGCACCAAGCTGCTTGCGTGCTGCAATGGCCTCTTTGCCTTCCATGCCATCAATGGAGTAGACCAGTGGAGTGAAGCGCCGATGTGCCGCATGGCACTGATCCAAGTACTTTTTCTTCTTCTTTCTTTCAAGCTGCTTGAGCACCTGCCAGGGAGCAGTCTTTGCATAGGAGTCTGCAGCAGTATCAGCAATTCTGACATCAAACACTGCGGATGTGCCTTGCTTCCAGAAGTTGTACACTGAAAGATCTCCTCTAAGGTCTTGGGGGGTGGGTTGTGTTGCGTTGGCTCTTCTTCTTCTGAGTTGTGGGCTGATAGTTGAGTATTCTAGGTTCATCAGTAACACAGCTCGGGGTCCATGCCTCTGCACACAGTTGATGCCATTCCCCTGCTATATCATTGTGTTGTTGGACAATGAAGCCGCCCTTGGGGCAGGTCATGGCGTGTTCCACTGTAAATTCAGCACTACAGCCGTCGCATCTCGTGCTAAGGGGTGAGGCCAAATCTGAGTTGGAGATTGTCACGAAATTCTTCGGCGGTCAGAACTGTCCCATTTAGAATATGGGGTGTTGCTGTTAGCCAGGCGCCAGTGGACTGACCCCTGTTGATGCGGTGCTGATCCTTTGGTGACTTGGACTTACTCAGTTGGTTCAGGGAGAGTTGGAGGGTGCCCTGTCGCTCCTCGTGTCGGGCCTTCAAGTTGCTCTTCACATTATTGCTGTAAGTCTGGGCGTCGAGTGGTGAAATCAGGTCTGCAGTTGCACCAATTGACATATCAAAGTGAGCCTTTGCCTTGGTGCATGGGTCCGGTACGCCAAGGCCAGCAAATTGCACTGGAAATGCCAATAAGTCTCATAGTGTGGTGGTAGTATCGACTGAGTCTCCCAAGAGGGCCGGTAGAAAATCCTCTGCCAACGCCTTCTCCACTGGAGCAAATGCCTCGCCTATATCTGGGACGACCCTCTGGAGGTATGTCCACTCAGCTTGAAGGGATTTGGTCAGACCTGCGAAGGCGGCCTGGGGATACCGGCGTGCAGCCCCGGCAAATAGCTTAATGCTCCTGACCCAGTGCCCAATCTGGGGTTTGAGCCATGCATCTCGTGCTTCTGGGGTTCTGATGAAGCCGCCTATATAACGTGAGCCATCACAGAAATCAAAGTTGAATTCCCGGAGCACCTCCTGCGATTTTGGTATATGCCCTGTCATCCCAACAAAAATACTTTTGGAGGGCTCTGGAAAATAGCCTCGTGCAGGGCCCAATTCCTGGAGAACGCGCATGGTGCCTGCAATTTCTGAGACTCTGCCGTGGAGGGCGGCATCATCAGCATAAAAGGGGAGGACTACGTCAGGGAATTGAGCTTGGAGTGTTTTGGCAAGAGGAACTAAAGCACAGAGTCAGCACATGTCATCAAGATTAATGCATCATGATAAACAAAACTATCAGGACCTAACTTGGAAGAGGCTTCCTCAAACATGTAGTCAATCAAGTCAGTGATGCAGATTTTGCCAGCCATCACAGTTTTGTCAAGTTCTTCTTTCCAAATAGTCCCGAAGCAACTTTCATAAGGATTTTCCGCATCCCTAGTATGGTCAATTATTTTCAGTGCGTCACCAGGTAGAGCCAAAACCGCATCTCTAACGAAAGATTCCAAACGGTTAAGAGACAAACCAGGAATCTCGTTTGCTAGTTTCTTTGTTGCCTGTGGTGAAGAGGCAAGTAACTTGAGGTCTTTCACAAACAAAGTGTTCTTCATTTGAAGCTTCTCAAATGTCTTTGCTGCAACACCAGCAATAACTGTAGCAGGTTCATTGTCATATACTGCACCTATAGGTCTGGGATCTGCAGCAATCCAAGCAGTGCTTCGACTTGCTTTAAGAACCAAAACAAAAACAACATTCACAAATCATGTTAGGAAACTAAGAATTAGCAGCAGATGAAAAGGCAAAAAGTGATACTTACATYTTTGATTTTTAATCCAGCCAATTTGTTGCAAACGAAGTTTATCACGCTCTGTTCTCGTGACTAGACGAGAACCAGTATAATCAAATGGTTCAACCCTTTGTCCATTCCCATCCATATTAATATAAACATGTACCAGTACTGTAATAGACTTGCTTGCTTTTTAACGGAGGGAGGAGGTAATATGTGAGTGTGAGTATCGTGCAATTGTTCTTTGTTGTTGTTTAGAACTCCGGTCGACTCAAAGATTGATTTTGGTGTCAAGGGGCCCTTTTGATGCACCTCTTTGGGCGGTTGGAGTATGAGTGACATCTTGCACATGTAAGAATAAAAAATGAGGGGGAAACTGGTTGGAGTATATTGATTTCCTACATCATGTGTAACAAAAATTCGCTCGAAATTTTGGGATGACACGCTCTTTTTTTCTGTTTGTAGACTGGTCGCAGAAGAAAAACCGTTAGAATACATATGCCTTAACCGAAACTTTGAAAATCAAATTAAAGCCAATTTTATCTTGTATTCATTAATGAAGACCATGGATATATTTCTCTTGTTATAAGCTTTCGATCCATATATATTGATACGGGTTACACACGTTCCCACGGAGTCGAAACTGCTCCTCCTGATTCTTTTCCCATGAGGAACAACCACCAGCTAAACCACTTACCCGGAATCAAGCTCTGCTTGTAAGTATCGTACGTACTCGTACTTCGTAGCTCGTATTAGTACCTGACAACCTCGTTCGGCATGACTACGTACCGTACTTCTATGAATCTGCGCGCGAACTTGACAGTTTTCGAAAAACTGGGCGCGGAGGGACAACAAGATTCCACGACGACGATTTCCGAGGAAAGTGAGGTACGTATCGTACGAGCGTACGAAGTGTTGTTTGGTATTTTTGCTCCAACGCCGAGTGGAAGGAGGGTGTTTCCACAACCCGCATCGCAACAAACCGTCAGCGAGAGAGAGTGTCCTCGACTCGATCGACACCGTTGTTGCTCTCGTTGCTGCCAACGACGCCATTGGCACTGACACCACCGGCGGGAACCCACCAAAAGAACCGCAGACCCCGGGTGCCAATCGATTCCGATCGGATCGGATTGAATCGCATCGGATCGCATCGGATCTCTCAAACCAAGCAAAAGCACCCAGCGGCGATGCACCGCCACCCACCGAAAGGAACCGGAACCTACCTGTGTTCCCACCGCCGCCACCAGAAACCCCGGTCGGATCGAAACCGGGCCCGTCCCTTGCGCTCCGCGGCGGTCCTGCTGGCACTCGCTTTTGCCGCCACAGCGATGGGGCCTTCGTCGGCCCTAACACCGTCCTCCCAGCTCCTCAAGGGAAAACGGGTCCTGGTCACCGGGGCCGGCCGCGGGATCGGCCGCGCGATCGCCCTCATCTGCCACCGGGAGGGCGCCAGCGTGGTCGTCACCGCCCG